ACTCGTGCTCTGACCTCCTGCTCAAGGTTTTTGTGTTGTAACGCTTTTCATCTTTTTATGTCCAACCTACTTCTGTGATTATGTTGAAAGCTTCTTATTAATAGCATGTATTTGGTTAGTGTTTTAAAATTCACTCTCAATCTCTTCCTTTTAACTGGTGCATTCAGATCATTCAAATTTATATTAAATATTGATATTTTAGGGCTTATATTTGCCCCTTTATTATTTCTGTCTGTTCCCTACTTGCCATTCATTTGTCTCCTCATTCCTGCACATGTGTATGCATGCCTTCTTTTAAAGAAATTCTATTTCAATCTCTGTAATGTTTTTGAGTATATCACTGTTACGGTCTCCTTAGTGGTTGTCCTTAGTACTACAGCATACATATACAACATCACAGTATAGTGGTAAGGGATGTTTTGCCCCTTTGAGAGAAAGTTAGGAGCCCCATTCCTGGTTAGGGCCCTTAGCCATTCTCAGTTTTGAAGTATAATCATTCTACTTCCTGAACACAAACTGAGTATCATGTCAATGAGCGTATTGTCACGTTTGTTGTAGTTCAGAGAGCAGATTCCCAAGCTGCAGGGCAACACGACCCCCTTTAAGATTTACCACTGCCCACTGCGGCTGGCGCCGCGGCTCACTAGGCTAATCCTCCACCTTGTGGCGCCGGCACACCGGGTTCTAGTCCCAGTCGGGGCGCCGGATTCTGTCCTGGTTGCCCCTCTTCCAGGCCAGCTCTCTGCTGTGGCCCGGGAGCGCAGTGGAGGATGGCCTAAGTCCTTGGGCCCTGCACCCCATGGGAGACCAGGAAAAGCACCTGACTCCTGCCATCGGATCAGCGCAGTGCGCCGGCCGCAGCGTGCCAGCCGTGGCGACCATTGGAGGGTGAACCAATGGCAAAGGAAGACCTTTCTCTCTGTCTCTCTCTCACTGTCCACTCTGCCTGTCAAAAAAATAAATAAATTTTAAAAAAAAGAAAGAAAAGATTTACCACTACCTGGTGGCCTTCATGCAGCTACCAAGTCAGAAAACACACCCGGCTCCCCAACTATGCTACGGGGCACCGAAGCAGCTTTGGGGGAAGCAATGCAACTGGACAAAAAGAGCTAGCCACAGGGGTGGCTGACCCCATGGCACTGAAGCTGTAGACTCATCTTTCAATTCCTTGGGCAACCTCCTCTCTCCCCCTCCTGCTGAGAGCCAGGGGCACTGACAATCAGATCTTCCCTGGAGACTAGGATCCTAATGGGCAAAATGCAAATTGACCCCCTTACATTCTGGAGCCTACGGTTATCCCAGTGATGTAGGCATTCGTCCTTCTGAGAGCATGAACCTGCGTTTGAATTCTGACAGCCTTGCCTTGTGCTGGGTTTACAGGAGTCGCTTAGTGAATTTGTCGAATGGCTTAATGCTAAACAAATATTACTCAAATAAGTAATGACAGTGATATCAGAACCGTGAGCTAGGCCTTTTCACAAACTACTTAGAAGGCTACAAGCAGCGGAGCCAGCGGCACAGGGTACAAGGGGCAGGAGGGGACTGATTAAGATCATGAGCTCTAGGCCGGCGCCGTGGCATAGTGGATAGAGCCACTGCCTGCAGTACCGGCATCCCATATGGGCACTGGTTTGAGTCCTGGCTGCTCCAGTTCCGATCCAGCTCTCTGCTATGGCCTAGAAAGCAGCAGATGATGACCCAAGTCCTTGGGCCCCTGCACCCACGTGGATAGATCAGGAAGAAGCTCCTGGCTTTGGACTGGCCCAGCCCTGACTGTTGCAGCCATTTGGGGAGTGAACCAGCGGATGAAAGATCTCTCTCTCTCTCTCCCTCTTTGTTTCTGCCTCTGCCTCTCTGTAACTCTGCATTTCAAATAAATAAATAAATCTTAAAAAAAAAAAAAAGCATGAAGCCAGATTGCCTGGGTTCAAATTGTGGCTCTCTCACCTCCTGGCTATGTGACTTTCAGAAAGTCCATGAACACCTGGATGTTAGCGTCCCTCCTTGAAAATAAGGGAAAATGACAGCCCTTCCACTGAGGACTCGGTGTGAACACAACTTCTGGCATCGAGACATTGCTGTACAAATATCAGTGACTGCTGAACGCTCCTCACACACAGAACGCCAGCCTCTTCATCTTGCACGCAGCTGAGCTGAGGAATCGGCTCAAGGGACACGGCTGACTAGAGGCCCGGTGAGGAACCCCGATCTCCTGACTTCTCCTCTGTGCTGTTGTTTTCCTCCCTAAGAATTCTAAACCTGAACACAGAACTCAATTACAGAACCTTCAAGTTGAAAGGGACGCGCAAGTCTCTTCAGCTTAACTTTCCCAGAAGAGATCACACCGCATGATCACTTGCCACCAACATTTCACCTCTGCTCACAGCCCCACGTCACAGATTCCGAACCACCCAGCCCCAAGATTCCAGCAGCACATGACAGCACGGAGGCCAGGGCCAGGTCCCCTGAGTTCAGATGACCTGCATGGATGAAGCCATTCTTCATGCCCGTCTTTTGAAAAATAAGATTTCTTTCTCAGGGAAACACTGTCTGGAACACTCGTTACGAAGCTGTGATTCAGGCCATCCCACACATACATGGATGTTTTGCAGAGAATGTGCTTCCTGGTAAGAATCTGAAATTACGATTTCGGTCAATTCTGAACAATGTTCTGCAGCAGCCAGGAAAAGGCACAGGGGCCAGCCACCCATCCCAGGCACAGCTTCTGAAGGTTTCAGGTTTCGGCGCAGTTCTCCGGAACAATACTCAGCCTGGTTGTGCAATCAGCTAAGCTAAGGCTTAAAATCCAACCCAGCAGAGGCAGACTCTCAAGAGGAATCCCGGCAACCAAAGACTGCCGGGAACCGGGCACAGTCAACCTACGTGTAAGGATCCTCTCATCGGACGCAATGGCACACGATTCTCTCTCTCAGCTCAACACCAAGGGGAGAGATTTAATGTCTGTTTGATGCAAATCCCGGCGGCAGGCGGCACTAAGGGAGGGAGCCACACCGGGCAATTACATTTGATGTCCACGAAGCATGTTCTCCCTCGAGCTCTCCATCCCAACCAGCTCTCCTTCTCACACCACTTGGGAATACGCACATGCCCTGGGTATGATTACCTTCCATGCCTGTCGGCACTACGCAGTTACCGAGCTTTATGGATGGGGATTTAAACCTCAAAGCAGGGAGGTCCCATGACTTGAATTGCAAAGCTGAGATACCTTTTCACTGACCCCATCCACAGACCCTGCAAAGGATGTGGCATCCTGTCTTTGTGCGCGGTCAGATTTTATTTGCACCCCTAATGTATTCACGACAAGAAGAAAGATAATCTAGCAAGTCACTGAGCTTTGTGTGCGCCTCATCTGTGGACCAAAAACTCCTGTGAAGAGAAGTCACGTCTCACGTATCTGTTGCAGTGTCTTGGGCCTAACGGCTGCTCAGTACATGCTATGGTGTTCAGTCTTACCGCTACACGGGCTAAGCGTCTCCCAGGTATGAAGTATGTAAAGTATTATTCATGGACTCTTGTCTGTTGCTTTTAGAAACATGAGAAGCCTGTGGCAGACAGGCACTGCAGTTTAAATGGCCATGTAAACAGGGAACGCCTAGCACACTGTTGTTATTAGTAATAGGGATGTCTTGGGGTTTGTCAGTTGCTTAAGGGGATCCAATCATCCCAGGGGAACCAGGGATAGGCACATGAGCGTGTGTGTGTGTGTGTGTTGGGGGGGTACCCCCGAAAGACTACCAGGACTTCCAGATCAAAGACCCAACAGCCACATCCTTACTCTGGGTTCCAGGTGAGTTTGGTTCATGGCATTTCCCAGGCCTATGCTTCTCCTTAATGGCTTTTCTGAGAAATTGTCAGAATCAGGGCTGGCGTTGTGACACAGTGGGTTCAGCCACTACCTGTGCCACCAGCATCCCACACGAGGAACAGTTTGAGTCCTGGCTGCTCCACTTCTGACTCAGATCCTGGGAAAGCAGGAAAAGATGGCCCAAATACGTGGGCTCCTACCACCCACATGGGAGACCCAAATGACAGACCTAGCCTTTGAGGAGCTAACCAGCACTCAGAAGATCTCTCTCCTTCTCCCTCTCCCTCTCTGTGTAACTCTGCCTTTCAAATAAATACTTCTTTTATTAAAAATAATAAGAAGAAAGAGTTGGGCTTTCTATTCAAGAAACAGCCAATGTCCATTTGGCCCACAGGTGTGGCTAGCTACAAGATTCGTAGGCCTTAGTCGCAGAAAAACGCCAGGCTGCTGGCTCAGTAACTATGAAGAACTCAAGACGGGTGCGGCAGAACATCCGCTGGGAGGGACTCGGAGCACAGACGCCTGCGGGGCTGCACGGGTTCCACGCGAGGAAGGGCCGGTCCCGTTCTGCCTTCCAAGCGCTCCTGCACGGTGGGAGCCGGGAGGTCCATTACCCAGAAGCGCCACGGGGCTCTAGGACCCCAGAGGCTTACAAGGCCCCTACCGCTGCAAAGTCTCCACTTAGCTGATTTTGAGGGAGCGCTAGCCAGGGGGGGACAGCCATTCCAGGTCCAGGAGCAGCACTAAGGGAAGCAGAAACCAACGCCAAACGCCAGGAACAGGGTTCTCCGAGGCAGGGCGGCAGGGTGGCGCGAATCCGCGACACGCACACTGCAAAGGGGAGGGGCTGGAACGACCACTGAGCGCTCACTGTGCACCGTGTTCTTACCCCGCGTCATCATTTAGACAACCTTGTGCATGGACTGTCACTCTTACAAACAGGCCTGCCGCACTAGCACTCACAAGACTTGGTACACAGTAGGCATCCAATTAAGTATTTGAGGAGTGCTGACTCAGGCCCTGGCCTCAACGTCCCGCGCGCGGTTCCTGCGCGCTCGGCTGACCCCTCGAGGGTCCTCCTCGCTCAGGAGGCCACAGGGTCCTGCCAGTCCCTCGCCCCGCCCCCGCCTTTCCACCTGCCGGAAGCTGGCGCGGCAAAAGTACTTCCGGGGCAGCGAAGGTCGGCCCCGGCAACATGGCGGCCCCCTTGGAGCTCACTTGTTGGGGAGGCGGCTGGGGTCTGCCCTCGGTGCACAGCGAGTCCCTGGTGGTGCTGGTGAGGCCGCCTCGCGGGCCGGGGCGCGGGGAGAAGGGGCGGGGCCGAGGAGGGGCGAGGCCGCCGGACTCGGGGTGCCGCGATGAGCCTAGAGAGACCTCCCTGGAGTCTCCTCGCCTGTCCAGCCACCTAGCTGGCTCCGGTCCATCCCTAGTGTCCACACGTAGCTATCGAGAGTCCCCTAGCTTGCGGAGCTGCCCGGCCCCGCGGGATGCTCTCGGGCACCAGGTCCGCGGGAGCCGGCCGCAGGTGGGGCGCCTGTGCCGCCGGGGCCCGGGCTGTCCCGGGAAGCTGCTCTGCGGTGGGCGGGACGGCCCCGGTCTAAAATGGTTTCTTGCAAACTCTGTTTCAGGCTTATGCCAAGTTTTGTGGTGCGCCCTTGCAAGTCCACGTCGTAGATAACACCTGGCGAGGTTCGAGAGGTACAGCTTTGAGACTCCCCCGCTCCGCGTTGCGTCCTGCTCCGTGGGAGGCCGGGCCGCTCCCCCGACCTCGGCTGTGCTGCTCAGGGTTCGGTCCCTCTGAGTGATGACTCGGAGTGGAGCCAGCAGTGGGAACTGTGAGACGTGAGAACCTTCTCTAGAAGGGCCCTTTGTTAAATTGCACAACCGAAGACGAGCGTGCGCGCTCTCCCCCCTCCACGTGTGGGACTGCTGTAGCTTTCAGGGGCCTGCAGGCTCCTCCAGGAGTTCACGCTCCCTGTGTGTAAACTGTCTTTTGCTTGCAGGCGATGTACCAATTTTGACAGCTGAAGACAGCATTGTTTGTCAGCCTGCAAAAATCCTCAATTTTTTAAGGAGACAGGTGGGTGTTGCCTTTTGAAGATGTAGATGGTTGATCCCTGCATGTTGCTTTTTAAAAAATACATTGTCTCTTTTTTTTTTAGAATTTTTTGCAACTCATTAGACAATTGAGATACCTAAAGTTTGATTAAAAAAAGAAAATAGACGAGTCTTCGCTGTAAAGCATGAGTTTTAGTTTAATTGGAAAGTCACATACTGATTATGCTCAAATTTTCATGCATTTTGCTTGGATTTCATTGAAATGTATAAGAAAATTGAGTGTACCCATTTTCACTCTTAAAGTTACTGATGAGACTGTTTAGTCACATAGTTGCTGTATATCTTGTGCTGGATGTGACAGCAGCTCCTGGGAACCAGCAACTGTTGTTTTGTTTTTTTTTTTTAAAGCACTTATCTGATGCCTTAGTTAAAGGTTCTGTGAAATAATGTATCTGAAATGTTTGACTATATGAAGATTTATATAATGCATCCAAAATGTTTAAGCATGTGAAGATATATAAAAAAGCAAATGTCTGGTTTTGTCAATACTTTTTAAAAACTGTGTCAATAAAATTTGAGGCTTTTCTAAATTGGAAAAAAATGCAACTAGTTGGAACTTTTGCCTTCTTGTGAAAAATAATAGTTGCTTTTATTTATTAAGTTTGGGCTACATGCCCTTACTGAACAAGGTCATTAACAAGCATTGAAATAATAGCATTTAATAAAAGAATCACCATTCACGTTTATTTACCTCCCTCTTTGCCTGACGCCATGCTAAGAACTTTCAGTGCAGCAAGCAGCAGTTTTGACCAAGTTTGTGTCTTTTTCCTGCTTCCCATGTCCTGTTTACCATTCATGAGGAGGACTAGGAGTCCTCACTAGCTTAGCCTGCCTGCCTGTGGGGTACCCTTTGACTTCTGAGGTTCTTTGGGTTTGTTTTTTTCCCAGAAATACAACGCTGACTATGAGCTGACTGCAAAGCAAGGTGCAGACACGTTGGCTTACGTCGCTCTCCTGGAAGAGAAGCTCCTGCCTGCCGCGGTGAGAGTTCTGAGCGGCACGGGACCTTAGTGACCTGGCTGCAAACGTTCTCAGTGTGTGAGAAGAAAAACCAAGAAAAGGGCTTACAATAGGAAATTCCGCTCACACAGTAACCTTGCTTCTCTCATATTTCTGTGCCGTTGGATTCCTTTAGACATTCAAGTGGTGTGCCAAATATGAACGTGAAAAATGATGTCATTTTGCAAATAATTTTTTTTTTGTGGGAGATAAATGCTTGACTCCCTGTAGAGTTGGGTGGGCCATAATTTTTTATCAGCAAAAACTTACTGAGTACCTGTTGTGTGCCAGACCTTCTTCCAGGGCTGTGCAATACATCAACAAAACTCGCACATTTAAAATAATTTTGTCTTATCCTGAGTCATTCTAACTGGAACATGTGGTCAGTTTATACAAATATCACTTTATACAAAGATAGTTACGAAAAACTTTCACGTTGATTGAGTGATCTTTTAGTAAAGGAACACACCTGTAATGTTTTTTCCGTCTCTTCATAGCTTCACACATTCTGGGTTGAGAGTGACAATTACTTTACTGTGACAAAGCCGTGGTTTGCCTCTCGGATTCCTTTCCCCTTGAGTTTGATCCTGCCCGGAAGAATGTCTCGGGGGGCGCTGAACAGGATTCTCCTGACCAGGGGAGCGCCCCCCCTCTACCAGCTCCAAGAGGTGGAAGCACAGGTATGGTCCGCATTGCTCTCCGAGAAGGGGCGAGAGCGCGCCCAGGTGAGCCACTGAGAGAGGCCTGCCTCCCAAGTACCGTCCAGCACCGTGCCGCCTCTGAGACGAGATGTTCTCCTTCCTAGATCTACAGAGATGCCAAGGAGTGCCTCAACCTTCTGTCATACAGACTGGGGACGTCTCAGTTTTTCTTTGGAGACACGTGAGTACTTGCCCTTAGATGCCAACGTGCTGTGCAGTTGTTCACTGCGCACTTTCTTAAAGCAAGCCCCTTGTACCGTGGAAAGATGAGTTTTTCACTAAAGAGGCAATCTAACATTGAATCCACAAGCTGCAACTTTAAAATACCTGAGAATGTTCTTGCCCTGCCTCCAATTCAACACTTGTGAGTAAAAATGAATCGCTAATTACAACCTCATTTTCTTCTAAAGTAAATGAGTATTTTTAAAAAGTGCTTCATGAGTAAAATCCTAGTTACATTATTTTTTATAAACTAAAAGGTTTAAAAGACTATATTGTAAAATCTTCAAACGTTTAAGAAAGACTACAGTATCCTTAAGAATTGACAGACATTTATGAAGAAAACTGTAAACACCATCCCAAGTCAGCATTTTCCAATGTGCTTTAGAAAGAGGTCCTTTCTGTGTGCCTAGGCCCTGCACCTTGGATGCCTACGTTTTTGGCTTCCTCGCACCGCTGTACAAAGTTCGGTTTCCTAAAGTCCAGCTGCAGGAGCACCTGAAGCAGCTCTCCAACCTGTGTCGCTTCTGTGACGACATCCTCCACAGCTACTTCAGGCTCACTCTCGGAGGTGAGCCACTCTCCTCAACCAGGGTCTGTGTGCGGAGTATTTGCAAATGCTTCTAAGAGCATCACTTCCTTGAATGAAGAAGAAAGTGTGTGTGTGTGGGCCTGAACTGCTGGTCGGAGAACCCTCCAGCTTGGTTTAAAGAGAGGAATGGGTCATTGCCTTTTATCTAGTGCTCTGAGTCTCACACACTTTTTCCTTTTTGTCCGTGAAATATTGCTCCTCTGACATAGGTCATTTTCTTCCAAAAGATAAAACCATAGGTACTGAGTCCCTGCTTTAAAAAAAATGGTATTTATCCTAATGGGTAATTCCTCTAAATGATTCTTACCCGCTGCTTCTAGCGTTTTCCTGCATGAACAGAAATCAGCAGCAGATTGATTTTGGTGAGGTACACTCCCCTGATTCTACTCCCTGAAAACCGATTGCATCAGACTGGAGGTATCGTAAATAGAGGGCACCTGTCACTTTGGATAGGATACTTGACAGTGTGGGGCCTTGTGCTTAAGTCACTGGCATACTAAATTTGTATTGGGAAAGATGGCTGAAGCTGTCTTTTTAAGAAACAAAAGTGATAAAGATAACTGGGTTAGGTGGGACCATAGGCACATGCACACACACATATATTTTGAGTGGGTTTTGTGATTTGTATAAAGGGAGGGGTTAATAATTTGGGAGTCATACAATTAAATAACACTTAACCTTGTTACTTTGAGCAGTGGTTAGCAAACCTGCCTACATGACAGAAAATCTTGGGTCCTATTCCAGATTTACTAACATGGCCTCTCGGGGATAGACCTCAGGAATTGGAGTTTTTAAGTCCCTGATACTTCGCATGCCTGCTGGGTAGCTATCTGGGGGTGACCGTCTTAGAAAGCTGTCCAAGGACCTAACTGAAGTGTGGGGAGGGGCGGGCCCGAGGACTGCTTGGCTCCCTGCATGTCACCCGACATGGTCTGCTTTGCAGACACGCTTTATCCTTTTGTTAATATTTGGTTTCCGAGCTTTCCTGACCTTTGTAACTGTGCCTTTGAACCCAGAATGGTTTTTCTCTGCATCCTGGGGGAGGGCGGGGCAAGTGGCAGAGTGGGTGGACCCCAGATCTTCCCGGCTGAGCAGCTCTAAAGGCTTTCTTGTCTCCTGTCCTCTGGTTTCCGTCCTGGCTTTTTAGGCACCCCTCCAGCTGGGCCTGAATCGGTAGACGCCAATCTGCGGAAGCTCACGCAGCTGGTCAATAAGGAGTCCAACTTGATTGAAAAGGTCATGTTTCCATCACTCATTGTTTCCTAGTATAGTGTTTTTTCTTTCTGCCATTAATATTATCATTCAGGCCACGTATTCACTGCCCAACCCTCTCAGTTTTTAGTTTACTTTCCAGAAAGCTATTTAAGTGGACGTTTACTAAGTTGCATATAATGTTGTGTCAAAGCCAACAGTGGTCTGATCACTTTGGGAGATCAGATAGAGTTTACTTTTGCCTCACAGTTAGTCCTTTTCAAGCTGGGAATACAAAATGTTGGCGTTAGAAAACCAGAACAAAAACCCATCCTGCTTGCTGGTCTGGGCTGACGTCTGAGGGCAGCTGCCTGTGCCGGTGTGCTCCTAGTGTCGCGCCTCAGTGTCTGTCTGTGTTCCAGGAGACCTGTTTTGCTCCTTCTGTCCTCTCTTCTTGAAAACGTGCCCTGTGCTTTTCCCACCAGGTGGGTATCTTGACACTTGAGGCGGTGTCTTCTTTGTGAGTGAGATGTTGAAGGACTGGTAGGGCTGACAGCCAGGAGTGGAGATGTGGTTCTCATTGGGAAAACACAGGGGAGATCTGCACATTTCTCAGTAAACAAGTGGGGTGACGTGGCCAGATAACCCAGGCTGGCCGTGACAGGCCTCATGTTAGCTGAGCATCACCCAGCTATGCGCTGCCCTCATGCAGCTCTGTGCAGGCTCACCTGTGATCATGGCCATGTCCCCACGGGGGTCCTGAAGCTTTGCAGTCTCTGTCACCTAGCATGGTCCCTAGCTCTGGGCTCAGCTGTGCTCTCCACTGGGCTCTGCTCTCTGGCAGCCCACCCACCATCCAGTTCCCTGGAGTGTCCACTCCAGGAGTGCTCCGAGGCAGGTCTCCAGCTCTCGTTCTCCCGATGACCTTCTGGTACTTTCTGTAGTGTTGCGCAAATTGTTCCAGTTTGAGAGGTAAGTAACACTGGGTGGCAAGATTGTGTGAGGTCACGTTATTGAAGTTTTGGTAAGCCCAGTCTGTCTGAATTGTTGGCTCCGTCCGTAAGTGTCATGTGAGAAAATACATTGAACGCGGAGTGTGCGGAATTCAAGCTCACCCACCTGTTAGGTGAGGGCTGTCCAGTACCGTTTCCGTTTTTTCCCTGTGCAGGTTCATGACAGGGGAAGAGAGCTGTGCAGCCCCTGCGTGTGCAGGGGGAGGCCAGAGCACCACTTTGTGCGCCCCCGTCTCGGGCCCTCAGCAGTGGAAGCGTCCTGGCCCATCTCAGTCACTCTTCCTTCCCAGACACCCTTTTGCTCACACTTGATCTGCCGTGGGAAGTGTGGGGTCTCCTGTTGGCCACCAGACACAGGAGCAACAAATCCTGCTGGCCGCTGCTATAGAGGATTTGTTTGAGGATGTTAGTTCTCACTGGAAGGAAAAGACATCTTCAGTCAGTTAATTTAAATAGCTCCTTGGTAGTACTTTTCTCTTGGAAGATGAAAGGTTCGTCTTTTATTCCCGCTCCTTTCCCACGAATCCTGTGTCCCTCTGCTGAAATGTTCCCTGCATGCTTTGTAGGCACATCCTGAGAGGATGAGGCAGAGGGTCACTGTTCTGCAAGCCGGCAAGGCCCAGCAAAACACCTGCCCCCAGGCAGGTAACATGACGCTGTGCCCGATGTGCCCCGGTTAGAAGTGGTTTCTCACAGCCTCCGTGTTTCCCAGGATGCAAAGCGATGCTCTCTGGGCAAGCCAACACTCGTGGGCATCGTCTTAATGTGCCCACGTTAGTTGGTTTCTCCCAGCAGGCCTGGGATTTGTCGAGTTTGGAGGCCGCTGGGTGACGTCTGAATCCCGTCTGCCTCTTTTCCTTGCTTCATTTGTCCACGGACTGCAGGCGTTGAAGAGCTGCTCTCTGAGTGGATGCGGTCATTGTCACAGAGGCACGGGGGCACTCGAGAGAAGGATGGTGCTGCAGTAGGAAGGCCTGGGTTCAGGTTACAGTCTCGGCTCTGAAGCCAGCGTCGTGACCTGGGCAGATCACTGCTAGTTCCCAGTCTTGCTGGGCTTGTGTGCAGTGCAGAGAGGGGCTCTGGCTGCCTGTTCTCCCCAGCGTGTGGGGGAAGGAGTGAGGTACGCGCGCTGCTTTGTAAACTATGGCGCTCAGTGTTGCAGGATTGCTTTGCCTCTTATTGTTGAAGTCCCCTTCAACCGGGTCATGCCGTGGCCAAGTCCAGTGGAAGTGTCGTCTTATGGACTCATTATTTTGTGAGGGTATCGAGGCTGAGCGCATTGCTTTTTCCAGATACTGAGTCGCTGGTGTTTGAGGTATGACTTTCAGATGGTCGGAGCTTACTCGGAGGAGAGGTTCCTGTAGCCGTCCTCGGAGCACCTGGTTCCGTACTGTCCTGGACGGCAGTGCGCATGGGGCGCCGCGGGCCACGTGAGCAGTGCCAGGCGTGAGTCAGACGACCCTTTTGTACTTTCTGCAGATGGATGACAAGCTCCGCCAGAGCCCTCAGCTGCCTCCTCGGAAACTGCCGACACTGAGGCTGACTCCGGCAGAGGAAGAAAGTAACTCCTTCCAGCGGCTGTCGCCCTGATGGCCGTCACGCTTTGCGCGCCAAGTCAGATGGTGGTGGTGGTGGTGATGCACACTAGAGGTGTCGAGGCAGAGAGAAAACACCTCTTGTGGGTGTAGAGAAGAACAAAAGGAACCTTTTCTGACTTTTTAAAGTTAGGACGCCTGTGTTCTGGCTTGGCCGTGCGTTTTCCATAATGCAGGTGAATGCTGAACAAGTTTGGTGGGCGGGGAAGAGCACTTTGTACTGTACATAAAAGCCCGCTTTGCCTGCGGGCCACGTGTTGCTGACCAAAAGCTGAATGTGTACTCCTCACTTATCCCAGCTCATTTGTTCAGTTTATTAACTTGATTTTCTTAGACAAGGCTGAATTCTAATATGTGGCTGTTTGGCTGAGGCGTTTTTCCCTTCAGTTCAGAAATCTGATGCCTGTTAGAACAGGAAAAATGTAAGTTACTTCAGTAGAAAAGCCTGTGTTTAACTGAAAAAGGAGGAATACGCTTTTTCATTATGCTCTCCTAAGTGTGCTCTCCTAAGTCTGGGTCCAGTACCACATCTGTCACTGTTGACGGCGGCCGAGGACAGCATACTTCTGACGAGGTGCCCTTCGCTGCAACAGCGGTGTCTGCTGGCGTGTCCAGTAGAGATCAGCAAGGGCTCTCAGCTTCCTGGGCCAACATGGCGACTTTAGACCCGTGTATTTGCATTGCATCTCTCACCCGCTCATCTCTTTCCTGTCTTGACTCCAGGAAAACTGGATGTGGTTGAGCATCGTCACTTTGCTAGGCTGCAAAATCCGGGCGCTCGCGCAGTGGGTTGGCAGGAGAGCAGAGACACCGCCTGCACCTGGCCCCAGGCCCCTGGCCCCTGTGTGGGGCTCGGGCCTCATTGTTTCCTAGGGCGCAGCTCACACGGTCAGAAAGCCCCTGACACCAATGATTTTCCATATACTCTAGCTGCAGTTGAGGGATCCGAAGGAATATCCGAACTGGCACATTTTTAAGAATATTTCTATTTAATGGTTGTTGAGCTGTTGAAGGATTGGCTGTGTGGCAGTTTTGCCTGTAACAGAAACTTGCTTATTTTAGTGGTCGAGGTGCTTCTGCTGTCCTGCAACCACTTTGGGGTTTTTAAAATGCCTGCGCGCGTTTTGCTGAGTGCATTAGAAGATGACCACGATGCGCGGCCGGTCTCACCCAGTCCCTCGGCCACGCCGTCAGGAAAGCAAGCTCTGTAGTGAGGAGTCTGCTAACGTGGCCGAGTGCGCGCCCGTGTTTGGCCTCCACCCTCTTTATACAGGAGTCTTCCAGCCTTGTAAATATTTCTTCTTGAGGGGTTTAAATCAAATGAGAAGCAGGTAGTCTTCAAAATCTGCCTCATCTGTTTGGGTGCATTTAGGGAAAGTACCTAATGAACCTCGCATTACTTCTACGGCGGTTGCATTCACGTGTGTGTGTGTGTGTGTGTGCCCTTTGTCTTCTAAGGCAGGTTATTAGAGTCCAGCAATCTGAAATCTGTGAAGATATTTTATACTGAAAATCATGACCATGAGACTCTCTCGTTCTCTAGGATTGATGTGTATTGGAGAAACGTGGTTAACACACTAATCAGACATCTGTTTATGCTTTACTCAGGATTAGTCATTTTCAATTATGATTTATAGTATGCCTTCCAAAAAGCATTTGGAGTGGCTTATAATTGTAAAACATATGTAAAACAGGAGAATTATAATTAGTTTCTGGAAAAAAATTAAAAAGTTGTAGGAGAAAGAACTATGGCAGCATTACAGATTCTAGAATTGAATGGCGAATGTAGCTCCAAGTCAGAAGATAATGCTGGGCTGTGGAGTTTTTTCTTTCAATAAAACTGCATATGTCCATGACAGAGAAAAAGCTATCTGCATATTTGAAGAATGTGAGAGATCTTGTTCTTATGGCGTGCAGGCTTCAACCAGAAATGTAATGTTTCCTGTCCTGAAATTTTAACCAAATGAGGTCATTTTATAATAGCAAGTATTTATCCTTTTCAGTGGAAGGGATGACTATAAATATGACTGATTGGCTTTTTGGTCATCCTTGTTTTCAGCTGCCTTTGGCCTTATATTACATAGTCCATGAAGCTTTAAGACTCCTTTTGCTAGGAAACAAATGTGATAGAGGTATGGATTTTTATGTGGGGCTACTTAGTTGCGCTTTTGTTATGGAAGCAAATGAGATAAAAGATGTTATAACTGAGCACAAAATACGTCAGAGACCAGCTTTAGGAAGCTGTTGAAAGGAAGAATTTTTCAGGCTGACCAGAAGGCTTGTGACGGCCTGGAGGGAGTCGAGTATGCTGAGCTAAATGGTCTACACTCTTACACACAGCATTGTGCACCGCCGTCTTTCAGAGGTGATGGTGGAGAATAATAGGATAAAAGGGAATGTGCTGGTGGTGGTTCTTGTTGACAGAGAAAGGTTGGAAAAAAGGGTCAGGTAATTCCTCTGTGATGCATATGTTCTGTCAACAAACTCACCTATCAATCATCGGAAAAATAGATGGTTTAAATAGCACCAAAGAAGCTGTAAAGAACAATGAGGATGGTCATTTAACCATTCTTTCTGATGGTGTGTGACGGGGGCAGGGAGCGGGCCTTTGGCACAGGGACACCTGCCTCCCCTGTTGGAGTGCTTGGGTTTGAGTCCTGACTCTATTTGTTGTTCCAACTTCCCACTAACATACACCCTGGGAGGCGGCAGGTGATGGCCTGCTGCCCGGTGTGTGTCTGCCGGCCATATGAGAGACCTGGGTTAATTTCCAACTCAGAGTTTCAGCCTGGCCCGGCCTTGGCCATTGGAGGCATCTGGGGAGTGAGCCAGCAGAGAGGAGAGCTCTTTCTGTCTGCCTTTCAGACATTTGGCATTAGCAAATCAAATTTCAACTTAGGTGTTAGTACATTTGTTGGGGTACTGGAGGATTAGAGACTTCATAGGAGCAAGCATTTAATTTCCATTTGTAATTTCTATTCATTTAATATTGCTGGTTGTATTAACGTGAAGGGGTGGCGAAGGCTGTTTCAATCAGAGCTATATTAAAATCTTCACAAGTCTGTAAAAATGGAAAAAGCTGAACATCAAAAAAGGGCACAAATTAGAAAAGCTATTTGTTATAGTAGTTTTGTGTGATAAAAATGGTATCTGAGTTTGCTAATGGGTTCCCTCAGCACTTCCTGCAAAAATATGCGGCTTTTCATAAACTCAAAAACATTAATATTTTAAAATCCCACTGTAAATATAAAGACAGGAGGCTGGGTAGGGAGTGCACCAAGGTTGCTATGCTATTTTTGTTATTTGCTGGGAGTCTATCATTATTTAAAACAAAGTTTTCTTAAAAAATAAATTCAGTAGAGTAAGCCTACCATTATCTACATAACTATGATTTGAGATTTAATGCTCCATACTATCTAGTTTCAGATGAATAAATTATAACAAATTGAGTTAAATTTGTTTCATTCTTGAGTTTGAATGAAAAAACAAAACAAGAAATCCTCAGGTTTATAACAGATGCTTCTCCACAGACCTTTTTGGCCTTACTAGACAAACGGCCCAACACCAGGAACTCCTTTCCCTGGGGGTAGCAAAAGCCTGGGATCTCCTGTTTCTGAGTCTCTTCCCCCTGGGCTGACCTCTGAGGGTCAAACGTGTTGCTCGCCCCTTGCCCGAGTCAGCCGGGCCACACTCGGGTGCAGAGGCCGCGACGTGTACGATGCCTTTTGTTTGACGCTCCAAGGGATTTGTCTTGGTGTGGTTGTCTTGTTTACTGAAGTCCTGAGTGGAGCCACAGAAGTAATCTGCAGTGTGACGGTGGTCTTTGGATGTGTTCTTGGCATTAAGAATTGGTTTTTGTCTCTTTTTTGCTGTTTTTCAGCTTGGTGGGATGTGTTTACTTTTCAGTGTTTTCACATTTCTTAAGCAGATTTTTAAAGAAATTTGTTATTACATGAAATCAGAGGACAGATCCATAATCTGGTTTTCCTCAAAGGTTTACCTGAAATTTTGTTAGACCTTCAAAATGCCGATGTTCAAAACGCTATAAGGATGAAATTTTTGCTTGTTGATATTTAAGGGCTTGCGAAATTAATTTAACCCCAAGCTCTTGTCTATTGGGATGCAGTGCATGTCGGAGGCCTGGCCACCGGCCCTGCTCTTGCAGCCCTGGTGAGGGAGGCAGACAGGCACTCACAGAAGGGTTTTGTCCAGGACGGGCGCCATGGATTGCTGGTGAGAATTCCCGTTCTCGAGCAGTGCTACTACGAAGAGTGACTTTGGGTTGAGAGAGTAGAGGGTGACGTTGTGAGAGAAGATTACCCAGAGCAAAACAGCAAAACAAGTCCTTTTAGAGCCTCCTTATCACTCCTCTGGAATTAGACTGTAAGATCTTTTAAAACATCTTCTGAATTCCCCAAGAAGCCGTTGCTCAAGGTGTGTCTTGGCAGATGGCAGGGTAGCTGGATGGGCTTCCACGGCAGGTTAGCTTCCATGGCTGGTGAGGTAGGCCCTCCTTCTTGTGGACTTCAAGTAGGTGGCTTGTGTTCTGAGCCTCCGCTGGGGGACATGCTTGCCTGCAGTGTTTGTGCTTGTCTGTGCTGGCTGGAAGCTTTCTTACTCCGAGGCCCCCTGCTGAGCATGCTGGAGTGGGAAGAGACAGGCCAGGCCATCCCCACGTGGAGCTGAGGCGGCAGACAGCCCAGTTATTGAGGCACTGGCAGGCCACAGTGGGGGCCCAACCCCGGTGTGCGGGGAACAGCCGTCAGAGCTGGTGTGCTCAGAGGACTGGCAGGGCCCTGGGTGTCCTGAGACAGAAGGAAGCGGTTTGTAATTCCAGAACAGTTTTCCCATTCTTTCATGATTGCTTTTAAAGTGCCAGGAAGGCGGTGGGTTTGGGTAGCAGGAAAGTCACATTTAAGCCAGTTCTGCCGTGCATGTCATGAGAAGTCTGGGGTTGCTTCAGGGGCAGAGTAAAGGCCGCTCAGTGTTTCATGTTTCATTCTGTCCCGGGAGGGGGTGGCCAAACAAGGACTGTGCGCATGGGCACGTGTGTGCGTGTGCATGCATGTACACCTGCGTTCTCTGGGGCGGGGCTTGTGGTTTTCATTACATTCGCAGCAGATTCTGCCCTAAAAAATGTAGATCTCAACAGGCCTCCAAAAGTGAGAAGGTTAACGAAATACGGACAGCCGATCACTGCACGGGAACGGGGCTGTTGCTGCCTGTTGCAGTGTACGCGGCTGTGGGTTTGCAGTCCTCCTGCTGGGCCTCACTGGGTCTGAGCTTCTTTGGTTTTGCGTCCCTGTGTCATGAGGACCGTCCAGCCGCACTCAGAGCAGTTGGCTCTCTGCTCAGATCCCTGAGTGTTGCCCTTTCAGTCCGAGAAATGCCTTTAATCATTGCGTTTACATGGCCTACGCCCTTGGAAATCACAAAACGCGGCCTGCCAGGGACCACGGCAGCCTTCCGGGGGCTGTGCCCTGGAGCGGCCGTGCTGGCTGCGTCTCCTTCAGCGAGGGCCTCCTGGTCCTGTGGAGAGGGGCAGGTGCGCTCAGCCTTCACAGACAGAGGGGCGAGCTTTCCTCCTCATCTGCCTCTCGTTTGTATTCTGTGAAACAGGAAGTGACGTCCTCCTGTTTCTGTTCATCTCAGAGTGGGCATCTGTAAGGTAACGGGCCTTCGGCAAGACTGACAGTCGAGACAACAAATAAGAAATACACATGCATATGCATAATGGTTGTTGCACCATGCTTATCTCTGAATGGTAAACTAGTGTGCAAATATTATAGTTTTGTTATAATCTCCGCGTAAGCAGCATTGGCCAAAATTCCAGTAAGCTAGCCTTGCCTAGTGTGAATGTATTTTACTCAGAGACAATGCATAAACACCCAGAGGTGGTGATGGTGATCACTGTTGTAAACATTTTTCTGATAAATGGATATGATGTCAGAAGTTATTTTCTCAATAAAACGTCAAACCGCCTGCATGTTTACTGTTTCTTCATTCCGCGGTGAAAGTCTTCAGTGGATTGCATCTTGCTGTTGACGATGGTTACCCAGGGCTGAGGCGGCGCTGGCCTGGGAGTTCTCACACTGCTGCGCTCCTTCCACCCCACACAAAGGAGCACCTCAGACACACGCAGGGAGGACTGTGGGGTTCTCTTCTGTCGGTGTCTGGCAGACGCCCCCTTTGCCCACCCAGTCTAGGGATGTTCCATTTCATTAAAAGGAAGACATGCTGAGAAGAAGACCCCAGCGTTAGATAGCAGGGAAGGCAGGCGGGTGGGTAGCGCTTGTTAACACTTCACACTGGGGGGGTATAGCGAGCTCTGTCACTGACACGCGTGAGTTAAACAGGGGCAGGTCCCTGAGAAGTGGGTGTCCCGTCTGAGGAATGTTTTGAAACAGGTCTGAGTGACGCGTGGTGACGTGCATTACCTTCAAGTCGGCCTGCTCAGGTAGGTGCTCCTCGCACGCACACGAGGCGCCGGTCCCCGGCACAGATCGTCCTGTGGCTGAGCGCTGGCTGCAGCAGGAAGGCCCCTGGGGCAGGCAGTCCTGGGAACACCCGGTTTCTGCAGAGGACAGGAGAGCTGCTGCCGAGGACGCGCTCGTGGAGTCCTCGGGGAGGGACAGCTACTGAGTCACTGCCAGCGCCAAGACAGGCAGCTCTTTCAGTGCTTAGCTGCCCACCCCTGTGGGGAGCAACTCGGACTAGACTAAGTTACTGGAATTAAGACTTATTCTATGCCTCTGCTCTCCCACAATATGGCGCTGGGGAGGAGTAAACTTCTACGCAGCTGCCTCTCGCCAACTTGAGTGATGACCTGCAGGAGCTGATCCTGCTCCTGATTGGAGGAGAGCAGCGTACTCGGCGTGTGGGTAGCAGAGTTGGGATTGGTGGAAGAGGACTATAAAGGAGGAGAGAGACAACATGCACCAGGAACATCTATCTGAAGGAACACCTGAGCAGCCCCCGAGAAAGCCGGCCGGCGGTGTGCCGCTCCCCCGCGGAAGTGGGGAAGGTGGCAGGGGGAGCCGCCCTTCCACGGAGGTGGAAGGGACAGTAGCCAACCCGGGAAGGACCAGCAGCAAACCCGGGGAGGGCCGAGCAGACGAAAGAACAACGCAGGGTCCTGTGTCGTTCCTCCACGAAGAGGGGGAGCGACATAATGGTGCCGTGACTCGGATATGAAGCCTAGGCAGGGTCCTGTGTCGTTCCTCCACGAAGAGGGGGAGTGACACACCCCCAAGGCTTGGCTTTGCGCTGGGACTGCTTGGTGCCCGGAAACCCCTGGACACCTGTTGAGGATGAGGTGCTGCGGCGGCTGGTAGGCCACAGAGGGGCCCCGTTTCATCACACTGGGCCCTTGTCTTATGTGCATCTCCACGGGAGAAGGATGGGCCAGCCCAGAGCAGGCCAGGTCATGCAGGGCTGCCCTGTGTGCGAGAGAACAGGGAGAGACTTCAGTGGAGAAGGGAGGGGTCTGTCTGCCCAAGAGCCTCGGGTGGGCAAGGGCTGGGCAGAGGCCAGCGTCTTCCTGACCTGACAGCAGTTGCGGGAGACAGAAGGGGCCGTCCCTTCCTGTAGGTGCCCCAGCCCCCAGCAGCACCCTGGCCCCGTGAGCCGTGCCCCTTGAGGCTCCAGATGTGATGTTTCCCTGGGTGGGACAGCAGTGATGGTATCTACCCTCTCTGAGAATGGGCAGGACGGGACTGTAGCACCGTGAGCATACGTGGGGGGTTGCTTTGTCGGATACTGGCATGGGGAAGGTGATCCTCTCAAGAATTCACATCTCGGAAAAGTCAGGGAGTCTTGGTGCAGCGTGAGACCTTCCAAACACAACTCAGACCAGACACACTTCTCTTCTATTTTAAATACAAGAAGAAAATGGACGTGTTTGAAGATGGTCAGGTCGTGCCATCCTGGCAGGTGTTGACCTGGGTTTTTCCACAGGGGAGACACGGCCTTCCCACCTGATGGACATGATTACATTCTGTGTGACATGAGATTCACATACTGCTAAGATGGCTTACGCGGGGGGAGGGGGGTCTGCCAGATCTGATAGATGTAGAAATTAACAGGAAAAAGAAACAAAGGAAATGGGCATGCATTGTGGTGCAGTGGACTAAAAACTGCGGCTGGGGACACACATCCCATATCCGAGTGTCTGGCCTGAGTCCTGGCTGCTCCACTTCCAATCCAACTTCCTGCTAGTGCACCTGGGAGCTGGCAGACGATGGCCCAGGTACCTGGGTTCCTGCCACCCATGTGGGGGCTCCAGGTGAAGTTCCAGACTCCTGGCTTCCTCCTCATCTGTCCCTGCCTGCTGCAGTCATCTGGGGAGTAAACCAGCAGATAGAAGGTCTCTCTTGCTGGCTCTCTCTGTGTGTGACTCCCTGCCATTCTTTCAAATAAACATTTTTTAAAAATCAAAAGGAACAATTAAAGACTATATGTAGTGCACATGCATATACATACTAGTTAGAAAATGTACAGAAAATCCAATCACTGAGGATGTGTCTGCCCTGTGGTTTGGAGCAGTCTCGGCCACACTCCCACCCAGCTCAGCATCCATCACTCCATCATCGACATCCGTGTGGCTGGACCACCACGTTCCTACTCTGCTTAAGGAAGGGCTGTTGTGGGGTGCTGCACGTGTGGGAGAAACATGAAGAGAAAGTTACAACGCCTGCCCTCAAGGAGCAGTGTATGGGAGAGATGTGCGTAAGTCAATATGGCCCTGAGTCTGCGTTTGTGTTGGAGGCGGGGAAGTCCAAGTTTGAGGGGCTCACATCTGCCAAAGGCCTTGCCATCCCATGGTGTTGCCCCATGGTGGAAGCAGAAGGGCAGGAGAAGGGGGCTAGACTCATCCCTTCTGTCAGGAACCACTCTTGCAATAATGGCACCACCGCCTGAGTGATGCCCTCACAGCCTAATCACCTCCTCAGGGTGCCACCTGTGCACACCACTGCTTTGGGAAGTGAGTCCCCCACACATGCACGATAGGGGACATGTGGAAAGCACAGCCAGAGACAGTGACGTGGCACCCGGTCTCCCCTCTGCTCAACAGAGTTCACACTTTCCCAAAACACAGAAGGCAATGCAAAGTGCAGACGTAGTTCTGAGCTCAGACTGCAAAACCCTGAGGTCTCGTAGTAGAGGTTTTCAGCCGGAGCACGGTGAACCAGTGATGGGTTTCACTGCTTGGTTTGTCTATCACTGAGGGAGGCTGCATGGAACTACAAGGGAATCAAGAACTAATCAATATCCAAAGGGAGGGAATTTAACACAAGGGTGGTTGTACATGTGACAGAAGCAACGTCCGCGCCCCACCGAAATCCCTGCCTCCGGGAGCTTGGAGGAAGCACTAGCAGCAAGGCTAGGAGGGAGTAGGGTGGCACCACCATCAGGTGGCTTCCGGCTGCCCCTTGACCTTAGCATGCTTTTGTTGTGAAGCCCTGACGGCATCTGCCTCACAACCAGTTGTCCAAGCCCAAATACCGACCTTCGGATGCTGAGAGAGGCCAGAGCCCGCAGAAGCTCTGGTGGCACAGAGGCAGACGGGGAAGACTGGGATGGCTTGCCAGCAGGCTTCGCACAGAGCTGCGCAATGCAGGGAGAGTGCCAGGCCGGAGATGTGCGAAGAGCGAGCCATCTCGTGGGGAGAAGCCACACTTGACAAAAAGCAGAGGTTGACGCGGGACAGGCCATCAAGGCTTGCTTGCCATGTGATGTCATCAGGGCTGGAGGCTGAAGATGGGTCTTGGAGCTGAAGGCTCGGCTCAACACGATGTGTCACAGTGGTGGTTTGACCAAGTTTCTGGACTCAGTCTGCATGGCTCTCTCCTGGATCTGAATGGAAAAACATGTTTGTGTTTGATTTTTAAAAAATGATCAAAACTTAGGAAATGCCAATAGAAGGAGTCCCATTTCACTTGCTATGAGTGACCTCCGTGAGCAGTGACATCTATTTTCCCAGTCATTAATTTCTATGCATACACACAACTCAGTATATATTATAATCCTGTAATGTGCCTTTTCACGTTTATAATCTATTAGCCTGTTTGGCACTACTACAATGAAATATCCAGGGAAAATTATTCAAGCAGAAAACAGGTTTGTGTAGCTCAGAGCTTTGGAGGATCAAGGGCATGACACCTGCACAGGCTCAGCTCTGGGGAGGCCCCTCAGCTGCGTCCCATCCTGATGGAGGGCAGCGGTGGGAACACGTGGAAGTAGACAACCACATCACCGAACAGGAAGTCAGAGAGACTGAGGGCAGGCTCAGGTGAACTCACCCTGGGAAACCAGTACTCCCTTCTACATCAGTTGGAACCTATGGAAGCAACCTATGGAGCTTCCAATAGGCCCCACCTCTCAAAGGCTCCCCCCTCAAGATCACCAAGCCTCCAAACACATGGACCCCACGGGACAAACCACATCAAGCCATAGCACTTAATATCAGAAAGCCTTCGTAGGCTACTGCATATTCTGCATGGCTCCCCCTGGCTGTGTGCAACTTCTTGCGTGATGTAGCACTGTTTACCGTGCTCTCTGGTGATGGACACTTTGTGGCTGGTTGCTCTGGCAATGGCCTTGTTTCACATTTTTGAGCTGTTTCTCAGGAATACCAACGCCACGTTGTACTCCCTGCATTCCTCAGAAACCCCAACAACTTCAAGGGTTATTTTTCTTGGGGCCACCCTCAGGGTATAGCCCATTAAGCTGCTGGTGGCGACCCCTGCCTCCCATACTAGTGCCAGGTCAAGTGCCAGCTGCTCCACTTCTGATCTAGCTCCCTGCTAATTCTCCCAAGAAGGCAGCAGAAGGTGGCCCAAATGCTTGAGTCCCTGCCACCCTTGTGGGAGCCCCAGATGGAGCCGGGGAGTGAACCAGTGGGGAGATTTTCCCTGTGTGTGTCTGTGTCTGTGTGTTGCTCTCTGTTGCTCTGCCTTCCAAATAAATCAATCTTACAAAGT